TCCGGCCGCGCCGCGCCGGGCTCCGCGCGGGGCTGGGCTCCGCTTGGCAGGGGACACGGGGAACAGGCTGGGAACGGGGTGAGCGAGCGCTGCCGCTACGCGAAAAATGCAGAGGGGAAAAGCCTCCAAAAACGACCCCTGTTCCTGCCGAATTTCTTGCTTTCCTTCGAAGTGAAGGCAGGCCGGGCCAAATGCAAGAGGAAAAGGCCCCTACAGCCCCATGGTTTTCTCTTGGAAAAAGTGCTTGCAAGTCAGGAAAAAAAAAAAAGAAGTCTGATGTGTAAAAGGTGCCGGGGGGCTCGGGAACGTGCCCGCCTCGCACGCCAGTGCCCGGGCGCTCAGTGCCCCGCGAGGGCGAAGGGGAGAAGGGCACGCACTGCGGCCGCTGCGAGCCGTCCCCGCGGCACGCGGAACGCCACGGCCGGCGGCAAGGGAGCCCAATTGCAAGAGGAGAGGAAGAGAAAAAAGCAAACGCGGTCGGGCAGCGGCAACAAGGGCTGGGCACATTTGCAAAAGCAGGGGGAAAAATCCAAAAGAGCAACCAAAACAAAGCAGGAAACAGCCAGGCCCTTGGGGACGTGCGGGATGGGGCCGGCAGCGCAGCGCAAGGGGTTGTTTTGGGTCACTTTGGGGGGTTTGGGCCACTTTTGGGCCCACAGGCAATTTAGAGGCTGGAAAGGCATTTTCAAACACCATACTGCTCTTTAAACTTGCCAGAAAGGGTGCTGTTAATTTAGGGTTAGATTTATTTTCGTATTGCAAGTTCAAATGAAAATTCAAAACAACAACAAAAAAAATCAAAACAAAAAAACGAAACAAAACAAACCAGGAAACCCAACAAAGGAAAAAAACAGAAGCCACTCAAATTAAAGACAAACGATTTTCAGGCACAGAATCGATCAATGCTCAGTTCAGTTGTAATGGGCACCAAAAGCACTCCGATTAAAAAAAGAATAATAATAATAATCAGGGAAGCAACGTTAATCCAGCCAAACCCTCTGTGCCTTGCTAAGGGGCAACTCACCAGGTCTGTTTGCACGTAAAACACAACCTGAAGGGTAAAACAGGAGGAAGAGGCAGAAACAGTGAGGTCTGTTTTCCCCAGATCATATGCAAAAAAAAAAAAAAAATCAATCTGTTTTTTTCTTTGTGAGTTTTCCTCGGAAAGGGGGGCGGCAGGAGGAGAGGGGACATGGGGCAGCCCCACAACCAGTCTGGCAAGTCACCCCTTAGGCGCTCTCGACATGCCACGGAACGAAACCGGTCCAGGATCCTTTGTAGCCTGCAAGCAGTGCCAGTTTGCATGGAACGGAGTTCTCCGAGGGC